AGTCTTTTCAAAAAAAAAAAAAAAAAAAATTAAATCCACAGCAAAACCTCAAGGCCATAGAGTCAATTGCCACTCATAGTAACCCGTTAGGGCAGGGTAGAACTATATTCTAGGGTTTCTGGAGCTGAAAGCCTCATTCATCTTTCTCTCTCAGAGTGCATGGTGGGTTTGAATCTGCTGACCTTGTGGTTAATGGCTCAAGGTGTAATCCACTACAATGTCACCAGGATTCCTTAAAGCATCCACTGTCACTATTAATTGTATATATGGAATGGGGCTTCAAAAAGTTTGTGGAAAATGGAATTAAAAGATACTGGAATTTTTCCACTAACTTTTTGAGGCCCCCTCATTTTTACCCACTGCCATCTGAGTAGATTCCGGCTCAGAGCAACCATAGGGGACAGAGTAGAAATTCTCCAGTTTCCGAAGCTGTAAAACTTGACGGAAGCCACTGACGGCCTCATCTTTCTCCAGTGGAGAGGCTGTGGGTTAAAATGGCAAATCTTTCGGACGGTAGCCCATGCTTAACCCACCATGCCACCAGTGCTCCTTGTAGCTATTTTTAGTGATTATCAATTCCCTAAGGAGCTCTGATAGTGTAGTGGTTATGAATTAGGCTGCTAATCTCACGGTCAGCAGTTCAAATCTCCTAGCCATTTCAGGAGAAAGATGAGGCTTTCTGCTCCTATAAAGATTTATAGCCTCAGAAACCTTATGCAGGGTCGCTATGAGTTGGAACCGACTCCACAGCACACAGCCAACACCATCATCATTTCCCTGCTGTTGTATGGAATCAGGCATTGTACTTCTCACTGCACGTGCCTCTCTGTTCTCACTCTCCGGCCTACTCAGACCTACATTCACCAGGCCTTGCATTGTGGATCTGTCCCTCTAGTTCTTGAAGTGGTGATTGATTCTTAAATTATTTGGTGACTGACTAACAAAGGAAGTATACCAACCAAAAGGGAGAGAGTAGGGAGGGCTGACACGAGGGAGGAAACAACTAGAAAGCTGTATATCAATCAGCACAAGCAGATTGGGGGAGATAGGTTTTCCGAGAAAGTGCTCACCTGGATGATTCCAGAAAGGACAGTGACAGTTGCAGCCACCATCACCTTGTGTTGGTCCAGTGTTGTACTCATTGAGCTATTTGAGACATCCATAGCAGCCCCACTGGCATCCGAGGTCACTCTAGTAACTACTGCCCCCACCATCATGCTCAGAACTGGAAATGGACCTAATTAACGTCAGAGGATGGATCGTGGTCAGTATGTACCTCCCTAAGGCATGCTTGTCTTTCAGCCATTATGTGAGGAGCAGCCTGTCACTCTGCCCACCTTCCCCAAGCCCCCACTCCTCATTCTTGCAGGAAATGTAGGACTCCTTTCCTGGACGGTGTCCAGTTGGGAGCTGATAGAATCTGTGGCTAATGGAATTCATAAAGAAAAAGAAATGTGAGCATTGATCATCTCAGTGACTCACTTACCCACAGATATGTGTCTAGAAGTACCCAGGAAGAAGTAGACTATGACTGGGAAAAAGGCTGTATACAGCCCATAGCCTGGAGGGATGGTGACCAGCAGAGCAAATGCTAGACCTGTGAATACATAAGCAGTCGAGTCCTTATTTTGTGCAAGGGGAGTCAGGAAAGTTCTCTTCAGGGTCTTTACATATTTAAGATTGGAACTTAAAAATAAGTTACCTTATTAACACAGAGTGAATCATAAATGCAAAAACAAAACCAACAAAATGTTTAGAAAAAAATATAGATAGAAACTTTTGTGGCCTTGTATCAGGCAATGGTTTCTTACATATGCTGCCTAAGTTACAAGCAACCAAAGAACAAAACAAATAAAGAAGTCTTCCTCAAAATAAAAGATATTTGTATTTTCAAGGACACTGACAAAAAGGTGAAAAGACAGCCTACACAGTGGGAGAAAATAGTTGCAAGTCAAAAATATTTTGATAAGGGCCAAGTTAGTATTCAGAATATACAAAGAACTCTTGTGATTTGACAATAAAAGGTAAATAACCCACTTTAAAAATGGGCTAAGTTATCAGATTATACATTTTTCCAAAGAAGATGTGTAAATGCCCAATAATTACACCGAAAAGGTACTCAACATCACTAGTCTCTGTTGTTGTTGTTGCTATGTGCCGTGGAATTGGTTCTGACTCATAGAGACCCTGTACAGGGTTTCCGAGGCTGTAAATCTTTACGGGAGCAGAACGCCTCCTCTTTCTTCCACGGAACAGCTGGTAGTTTCGAACTGCCGACCTTGAGGTTAGCAGCCTGATTTGTAACCACTACGCTACCAGAGCATCACTAGTCTCTAGGGAAATACAAATCAAAACCACAATGAAGCATCTCTTCACATCTACAAGGATGGCTAGAAACCAAAAGAAGAGACTAACAAGTGTTGGTAAACATGTGGAGTAATTGGAACCGTCAGATAGCGCTGATGGGAATGCAAAAGTCTAAAGCCTCTGAGGAACAGTTCTTCAAAATGTTACCACATGTTGGCAGTTCTTCAAATGTTATGACATAACCCACGAATTCCATTCGAGATATTGAGAATTGAAAACATACGTGCATGCAAAAACTTGCATGTTCATAATAACATTATTCTTAATAGGCCCCAAATGAAAAGAATCTATCAACTGATGGGTGAATAAACAATATGAGGTATGTCTACACAATAAAATATTGTTTGAGAATAAAAAGGAGTGAAGAATTGATATATACCTCAATAAGCATTGGACTGCAATGTTGGTAGTTCAAACCCACTAGCCACTGTTGGAAACCTTACACAGGGTCACTATAAGTCAGAATCAACTCAATGGCACAAAACAATATCAACTTGAACAAATCTTATAAATATGATAAGTGAAAGAAACCAAACACAAATTCCATTTGTATGAAATGTTCAGAACAGGCAGATCCTTAGGATTTGTAGGATGAGCACTGGACTGCTAACACCAAGGCTGCTGGTTCAAACTCACCAGTCACTCCTCAGAAACCCGATATAGGGACTCTATGAATCAGAACTGACTTGATGGCACTTAACAACAGCAACAACAGTGGTGACTGCCAGGGGATGGGGGAATGGGAGGAAATGGAGAGACTGCTAACAGGTAAGAGTGTTTGGGGAAGGTCATAAAAATGCTCTGAAATTAAATGGTTATACTTGCACAACCTTACGAATCTATCAAAAGACACCATACATTTTAAGAGGGTGAGTTTTATGGTATGTGAATTACATCTCAGTATAACAACAATAAAAAAGTTACCTTGTAGTACAGCCACCAGCCCTGTACTGATCCCAGAAACAATGTCACTGAGCAGCCATTCCTTTATCCGGTATGCTGGTAACCAAGATGCTATGGGGAACAAAGAGAGGGCGATTCTCTTGGCCTTTTGTGAGGAGCAGCTGAAACATTAAGAGTCACAGGTTAGTTAACTAATATTAAATTTTAAGTTTAGCACCTAATTGTAGGTGGAAAATTGGAAGGACCTGGAGGTACATTGGTGGAGAGTATATATAGAATTATATATATATAATATAGTATATCAGGTGGCACTGTGGGATAATGCACTCGACCTCAAGGTAGTTTGAGCCTCAAGGTTGGCAGTTCAAATTCACCAGTCCTCGGAACTCTTTACAGAGTTGATATGAGTCGGAACTGCCTCGATGGCACTTAGCAACAAAAAACAATAGATAATGAAATATTATATAAAGAGTATAATATGAAGGGCTTCAAAAAGTTTGTGGAAAAATTTCATTATCTTTTAATGCCATTTTTTCACAAACATTCTAAAGCCCTTCATATAGAATACATAGTATTATTTATTAATGATTAATATATTAATTAGCACTTTCACTGTCACTAACATTCGCCTCCTGAATCCAATCACTCCCCGACCACCACCAAAGGATTTTTCAAAGGAAAAATACTGCTTGCTTTTTTAGCTGTCACAGAGTTCATTTGTCATACTCAGCTTGAACCGTGTAGCATTTCAACTGAGAATTTGCCTCTGTCCTCATCTATTAGTCTTCCGGTCTGGAAAGACTGTTCATTTCAGAGACTACCTTCCTAATTCTTGGAGGGAGTGAGAGATTTGGAAACAAGAGATGAAAAGAATCTGTGGGAAGCCAGTAGAGTCTGTAGACTATGGGCTAGAGCCAGGTGGGAGAAGTTGAAATCCGGAAAAGTTTAGAGAAAGTGCTTCCTAAGGTGAGTATCTCAGAAAAAGGTCTTACCGACAACCCTCTTTGACATGGTCCAGAAAAGTCTTATGATGTCTGTCTTTCTTTTTATGATCTTCTCCGAAAGCATTCTTAGAATACACTGGTCTGGCCACAATGTATTGATTCCCAATGGGTTCGATCATTTTGCTTCTCCTGGTGGCTGTGGCAGGTGGCAGACCCTTGGAACAATTGTGGCGAACCCTTCTGGCTTTGGCAGATTAAAGTGCCTGGAACCAAACAGAACTTGCTTCTTAAATAACTTGGAGATAATGTGATGCAATTTACAGATGAGCGAGCTCCGAACTGAATGTTACCACCTTTTGAGATCAAAAGAGGAAGGATTAAAGGATCTAGATTATGTTTTGCTACAGTGATATCACTTTTTACTCCAACAAGCTGGACAGACCTCCTTAGGGTAAGTAAACAGAGCTTTTATTTTACTTAAAAAAAAAAAAAAAAAGATTGCCAAAAAGCAATAAAAATTGACTCAGTTTACCAATCAGTGAGTCAAGTTTTTATTTGTAAAGTGAACTCTTCTCATCCCAAAAGGAATTTATTGTTAGTTGTTTTTTTTTCTAGAAGCTTCCAATGTTTGACATTTGAGTTCTGGAATAGATTAAATTTAAAGTCTAGCTACTGCTTCTAACTTCAGTCAAAGCTGTTCCGATTTACCTGCCATAATCTTTGTAATAAGGAGCCCTGGTAGCACAATTGGTAAACACTTGTTTGCTAACTCAATGGATGGTAATTTGAGCCCACCCAACAGTACCTCTATAGGAGAAAGACTTGAAGACTGCTCCCATCAAGATTACAGCCTAGAAAACACTAAGTGGGCAGTTGGACTCTGTCTCATGGACTTGCTATAAGTCCAAATGGACGTAATAGTACTCAACATCCATAACAACAATCTTTGACAGGCTTTAGTAAATGCTTTTATCTTGTGAAATTCAAAGACATTGCTCATTTAATGTTATGTTGCTATTGTTTCTGGGAGTTAGATTGTTTTACAATTTATAGTTGAAGAAACTAAGGCAGGACGTATATATTACTTGGTTACTTATTTCCTTCGTGATGAAGTCTTTTTAAGAAAATACATGCGCAATTACTGCATCTCTCTGGGCCTCATCTACATAATTGGGACAATAGTACTCATGTTTCAAGGTGATTGTGAAGATTAAATGAGAATATTTTCAAAGCAGCTAACACTGTGCCACTAATGTTGTTGTTGTGAAGTGCTGTCAAATCGAATCCAACCCACAGCAACCCTGTATAGGTTTTCTGAGGAGCAGCTGGTGAGCCTGAGAAGCCAACCTCGTGGTTCAAAGTGATTTTTCAGTCCAGCGCACTAACCCACAGTGCTACACCAGGACTCCATTATACCATAGGCATTCACTAAATGGTACTTACTAGCTATTACCATTTTCTGCTCAAGATGTTTAACTTTTTTATTCTTGTCTCAATCCTGTTTCTATGATACTTAAAAAATCATTTTTATAAAGCATTACAACTCTTATTTATGCATATTACTATTTATCACAATTCTTTGAAGCACTTACTATTATTATTATCTACTTCTTATGAAGGAGAAAATCCTACCACACTCCACCTCCACCCCACAAAAAAAGCTAAGTAATTTTTCATAGGTCACACAGCTGTCAAAAATGAAACTCAATTTTCAGACTTCCTTTGCTGTTTCTTCTATAACACACAGTTTCTCAACTGAAAAATATGAACATAACTGGGAACAGTCCAACTGCTACCATTTAAAAAAAAACTCTTGGTTTGGAGTACCACCCATAATGCCCAAAGTTTCGTTTTTGGACTTCAATCACAGTATTAAATGATCTCACACCAGATTGCCCCTTGTTACTTGGCACTCTCTTATAGATCAAGGAATTTTTTTTTGGTTTTCAGAGCTCAAAGTTATAGTTGGAGTCAGATGCTGGCTCTAACTCTTGGGCCTGTCTGACCTCTCTCTGACCACCCACCGCATTCCCTAATTCCATTCTCCAGCCTTGTCTAAATTCCTCTACACTGGCTTTCTTAGATAGTACTAATTCTGCCCCACCCACTGGCTTGACCTTCAGAAGCTGAGTCCCTTTTAGTTTGGCTATGATCTTTAGACCCACATTGGTTGGCTATTCTTCTGAACACCTCCAAACCCCACTGCAACCCCAGCTGCTTGTCTTCCCTGTATCCCATCTCTATCCCCTCTCTTTCCCATCCCCCTATTCCTGGTGTCCTATTCCCTTAACTCTATAGTACCTCCCGTTGTCAGAAGAATTTACTCATGGAATGGAGTTGGTGTGCCTATCTCTATGCATGGCTTGTGTCTTTTCCCCCCATTTTTGCCAATCACTAACAATATGGTTGGGGCATTAACATAAAGTCTAACCCATGTCAATGATGCCTGGCATCTTGGATCTCTTGCAAAGGCACTTCAGAGTATCTGTGAAGATCAGCTGTAATTCGGTGAGGTATCATACAACCTAACTAACTTCAGGATGAAGAAGACTAAAGTATTGAGTATTTTTATCTCTCAGATGTTGCTATGAACAACAGCAGCAAGATTCCACTCTTTTGTTGTATTACTCATGTTTTCACCAGGGAACCCACGTAGTATCATCAGTTCTCTTTCTAATAAAAGACCTTGACGGTACTTCTTTTCTTCCTTTTACTATTGTGTGTATGTTTTCTCTGCTAAGGTTTGATCTGTTTCTTTTTTCACAGTGGTGGCAGAAAGAACTTCATTTCTATTCAACTTCCTTCTCTAAGAATGACCATAGCTTAATTCTTTAGTGCCCCCAGCAGAGTAAGAGGCCTAAACTCTGCCCATCCTGCCAGACACCTGGAAAAGCTGCCTAAAAGGAAGGGGCTCAAAGGGCAGGTATCAGGACAGTTTGAGAAATCTTTCCAGAATTTGGAGTCTTTTAATTTTTTTTCCTGGCTCCCATCCTTGCTCCTAAAAGTGGCTGCCTCGTACTCCAGGTGTAACAAGCAAGCCGTGAACTGACCAGCCTCGTGCTGCCTCAGTTGGAGAGACGTGCCAGATACGGTCAAAATTCAGTATCATTCTCCATGTCATCATTTCTGGCATTCTTGATGCTGACTGACTTTAGTTAGGAATTCAGAGAGAGTTTCTTTAAAAAAAAATTTTTTTTTTAAACCTGAATACATTACTTTTTCTCAAGCAATTTTTGGAATTTCAATTTTGTTTTGTTCCTGTAATCAAAACTCTAGTTTCTTGTAACCATGGCAATGAAACAATATACAATAAGACGAATGTAAAGCTAATGTTCTCCCATGTAAACTATCACATAATTCACAATAAAACATTAAAAAAAAGAAACAAACAAACAAACTCTAGTTTCATTTTATACCCATATCATACCCGTATTAATGTGTGCCTTTTCATATTCTATTTTTATCCTTTGACTCAAATTTCTCTCTGGAGTCCTTAGTGTGCTAGTGATTTGAGAGAGATTCAAATGTATTCTCAGGGAAATTTAGAAGTTCAAGCCTTGTTTTCTTATTTGTATACATTTCCACTTCTATTTCATTTCCCATGATGTCCTCTTTTAAATCTTTTTGGCTTTTATGATTATATATATGTATGTGTGTGTGTGTGTATGTATATATATACATGTATATATATATACATACACACACACACACACACATATATACATACACACACACATATATAATAAAAGACCATGATATATATATATCTTATGTCCTGGTATGGTGCTGAAAGTCAGTTTGATCCTCAAAGTCAGCAGTTCGTTCAAGCTCACCAGCCACTGCTTGGAAACCCTATACAGGGTTGCTATGGGTTGGAACCGATTTGATAGCACTTAACAATAACAACAACAACAATAACAACAATAATATATACATACATGTAAACACTTACATATCTTGGTGCTATAGTCTAGTCATGCACATTTGTCTGCCTCTACTTTTATTTTTTTCCTTCCTGAGCAAAAATTTAATCCTGGGATTCATTTCTAAAATTTGATTTTTTCAACTTACCTATTCCAATAACTTTTAGATCTTTCTAGAGATGGTTATGTCCATGCTACCTACCCTAAGTTCCACCCGTCTCCAGCCTGCAGCCCAAGCCCGATTCTCAGTTACCTGAGAATCTCCACTCTGCTGGCCTTGTTCCACAAAGAAGTGTCTTTTGGCTGGGACCTTTCCACTCCTTGATATTTCTCTATTCAGTTTTCTAGTCTTTCTCTTGTAAGCACAGACACTCATCAGCGATAGTAGCATTTGTCTTTCATTAATAGTAATGTGGCCAGGAGGCCAGCAGGTGTGCAGAAGAGCATGGTCCAGCCCTGCCCACTGGTTTTGGATGTGTCCACCACCCCTGTACGAGGCAGCTTCTCAATGACACCAACCTTCATGAGTAATTCAAATTAAGGCTGCCCTTCATGGAGACACAAAATGCCATGCTAGGTCTGAAATTTGCTGAAAACTTTAATCTTTTGCTGGATCTCAGAGCTCCCCCAGTCCCATCAGTGGAAAACAAGAGGTAAGCCAACCTTGTTTAAGAACAAGTCCTGGGACAATATGAAAAGCAACAGTGGCCTCGTGCTTGGGGGAAGGGATGAGTGGTGGAAGAACAAACAGAATTGCATCAGGGAGCCCCTTGAGAGGACTACAAACGGTAGTCAAAGAGGGACCAGAAATCATGAGCACAAAACTCCCTCCTGCATTCTCGGTGATGTCAAGCAGGCAGAAGACGGCCCAGAATCAGAGAGGGCCAGTGTGGCTCTAGTGACTGGGTAGGTCTCAGTGTTGGAACTGATGAAGAGAGGTCAGATGGGGTCAAAGGCTGGGGCCAGCAATGATTTCTAGTTAAATGCTGTGATTTATGTGCGCTTCAATCTCCTTTAAAACAGAGCAGGGTAATTAATTAGTAAACCTGTATCATAGATGTATACCTGAGCTGAGCTGCTAGTTCTCTGGGAAGAAAAACAAAATTTGTAATCATTTAGAAGATGAAAAACATTCCTGTTTTTCCCTATGCTGAAAGATAGGCAGTTCAAACCCACCTAGTGACACTGAAGAAGAGAGGTCTGGAGTTTAGCTTCCATAAAGATTACAGCTAAGAAAACCTTAGGGAGCAATTTTG